AGCAATGTCAAGGGGTGTGGACAAAATGGCGCTTTGTGATGGCAGAAAATAACCAAATATTTAAAAGGTGGGATAAAAATCGTCTGAAATAATATTTTTCAAATGCGCTTTAAAATTTAAAAAAAAAAATAAAAGAAATAAATTAAACTCTTTAAAAGCTTTTTAGACCTATACATAATTGCTATATATACTAGCCTAGGCAAGATTTAAGTCATAAAATAGTTTAGTTTTCAAAAAAAGTAAAAAATCCCATAGGGAGCAGTGCAAATTTATATAAATCAATAACAATTGAAGAAATAAAGGTATCGTGATAAAACTTGGCAGAAATATGGCCAGATATTTTTTCTATTAGTACAAAAAAAATCAGCTTTTAAAATGTTACCTGAAATGAGTATCACTAAAAAGAAAAATACACATACTTTCAAGTAAAAAAAAAAACTTTTTTTTTTAAAGTCCACATGAAAAAAGTGTTCCTCAATATAAAATGTATCCATATTCACCTCTTTTAGCCACGATTTCAATGGATTTAATTTTAAAATCATAGTTGATTTCAATTAAGGGCCTATGTACAGAAAGTGAGACGACTTTTTTTAACTTTCGGTTTTCCAGATTTTCACACATCTATAAATTACTTTAAAAGAACGTTTCACATGTATAAATGTATATGTATAAATGACTATAAAAAATCAGTGTATGTTTAACAGAAAGTCTGAGAAAGTTGTGATTTTTTTTGTGGCGTTTTGAGGTTTGACCTAACATTGATGATTGGTTTACATGGAACAAGTTAGATGAGAGCATCTCGCTGGGTAAGCTGGAAGAGTCACACACCCAGATCAAAAGTTGGGGTAATAGGCGATATTATGCCTCCCACGCCTGATCCGGTTGTTTCTGTGGTTTTGCCGTAGACAATAGGTAGCTAGGCAAAAGTGCAGAAGTAAAAAAATTACAGATAAAGTTGAGATTTGGTTTTTTGACTTTTTTTTTTTTGCATAGGCTGCACTGAAATTTATTACACTTTTGAATGAAGCGTGAGAAGTATTAAACTTTGTCGATTACTTAAGACGAAGTTTTTTATCATTTTTATATTTATTATAAAAAAAAACAAACCTTTTTTTGCTTGTACCAATACAGAGTCCAGGAAAATGGTTTTACATTGATTTATTTTTTTTACGCTAGGTATCATGCCTGGCTATAATCCTACCAAGTTTTATCGTGATATCTTATGATGCGAAAAGTTGAAAATATGGTTAGCATTGTTGGCTATGGGATTTTAGTTTTTGATAAAGTTTGATTTTTTTAAAATTCGTAAGTTAAAAAAAAACGCTTCAGGCCATGTAAGGCTTAATATTCTGCATATATTAAAATAGTTTTTGTGTACTGAAAACATGCGCATGAGTCTTAAAGTGCATTCGAAAAAAATTGTTTCAGGCATTTTGATCCCAATTTTTTAATATTTTATTTTCTGTCAACCAATGGTAAGGGTTACAATTGGTTTTGGGTAAACAATAAACCTAACCCTAATTCTAAAACTAAGCTTAAACCTAGCACTAAACTTAATCTAAACCTAACCTTACAACTAACCCTTATTCTATACCTAAACATAACCCTAACCAAGCACTAATTGTACTACATTCCATCAAAATAATATATAGTTCAGTGATACTTGCTGTTAATTTATTATTTTTTAATTTCTGAGATGGAGAGTTACCTTCCCCTTAAGAACGTCATAAACAATATGGTGTTTTCATTCAGCAATGATAAAGGAACTTGAAAACAAATTTTTTTTTTTTTCAACTTAATATTAATTTGCAATGGTACAGCTTTTGAGGGTAAGGTTATGAGCCTATTGTCTACAGTAAGACCACAGAAAGAACTGAATCAGGCATGGGCGGCATAATATCGCCTATACCAAAGTTGGAATTAAGTTTCATAGATGATAGATCTAGATCTACTTATTAAGAAAGAAATTTAATAGTAGATCTCTAGTAATAGTAGTAAATTTATAGCTCACAAATCTGATTTAATTTATATTATTATTTATATTAAATGTCTTGAGGTCACTATCCCATGCCACACCCCCTATGAAAATTAATATAGAAAAACAGCCTTTTTTAGCCCCCTCTTTTAAAACTTTTTTTTTTTTTTGTAAAAACACAAACAAAATGAGAAAAATCTGTATTTTTTCCATAGAGTAACTACTTAAGAATTATTTATAAGCAATTTAAAGCATTGTGTAAGGGAAGATAACAAAATAACTGACTTTTTTTAGGAAAGACGATAATATCATTGATTAGGCTGCATATCTGGATAAAATCAATATCGTCGGTTAGGAAAGAAAGAGTTCAAACCTTGCGCTTCTCAGCTCAGGCTCAGGATTCTGTATTGTCATGGTTTGAATGATTTTGGGAAAACTTCTCAGGATTTTCCATAATGAAAAGAGCTTTAATAACTATTACAATGGAATTGTTCTTCTCTAACCTACTTTAAGCTAAGTGATTATGATTTATAGATCTCAACCATTTTCACATTCAAATAACAATGAAACCCATGTGACATGGAACAGAGCTATCTCATTATGATTATGAAGTGAAATATACTAATGAGTCAGTATGATTTACAAATGATTACACTGTTGGAAAGTACGTTTTTATTTGGTAAACATGGTGTAAAGCAGTTGTCATGAAAACAGAAAAGTCGTGTACATCTTAAAGACTAACTGGAAAATCCAACTAATGAAATCCTTATTCTGTAGAAACAGTACACGTTTTACTATTTGGTTTAATAAATAAAACATTATTAATGACATTATTTTAAGGGATTTGTGAAAGTTATCAAGAATAAAGCCTACTTCAAGAGGTTTCAAGTTAAATTCAAGAGGAGGAGAGGTTAGATCATTTATATTTTTTCTCAGACCAATAAAGTTTTTTTTATGTCACTGGCACATTATATTATTTTAGATTTCTCTAATTGTGCTTATGAATTAAGTACCAATATAAAAAGTTTCTTTTGGCTCTAAATTTTATTCTATTTTTATAGAGGGTGTTACTGACTACTATGCCAGAAAACGCCTCATCTTCCAGGATAAAAATAAATACAACACTCCTAAGTATCGTATGGTTGTTCGTTTTACTAACAAGGACATCATATGCCAGGTATAAAACTTATTTTATTAAAGACAGTTATTCACTTGTGCTATTCTCAGAAATTGTCATGTTATATACACCTCTCATTTTGTTATCAGTTTCATGTTTGAAAGGGACTAACCTGCTTTTTAATTGGCTTTTTTTTTTTTTTTCCAGATAGCTTATGCCCGTATTGAAGGTGATGTTATTGTATGTGCTGCATATGCACATGAGTTACCTAGATATGGTGTGAAGGTCGGGTTGACAAATTATGCTGCAGCATACTGCACAGGATTACTTCTAGCTAGAAGAGTAATATTTTTTAAAATGTTCTACTACTTCCAGCATTGTGTGTATTTTGTTTTACTTAGACTTTAATAGATTAATTTTTTATGTTATATAATCACATTGTCTTAACAATATTTTTAGTACTGATTATCAGTGTCTATTTAAATGTTTTTTTTCAGCTGTTGAAAAAATTTAAGTTGGATGAAACCTATGTTGGACAAGTTGAAGCCAATGGTGAAGAGTACAATGTTGAGAGTATTGAAGGTTCACCTGGTGCCTTCCGTGCTTACCTTGATGTAGGTCTTGTGCGCACCACAACTGGTGCAAGGGTTTTTGGAGCCCTGAAAGGTGCAGCTGACGGTGGCATTGATATTCCTCACAGGTAAATTATTTTTCAAATGTATATTGTAATCTTGCGACACATTTTTATCCGCTTTTATGAAATATTATTTATTATTCAGCACTCGGAGATTCCCTGGTTATGACAAAGAAAGCAAAAACTACAATGCTCAGGTTCATAGAGATCACATCTTTGGTAAACATGTTTCAAATTATATGGCCTATCTCCAAGAGAATGATGAAGAGGCATACAAGAGACAGTTTTCACAGTTTATCAAGAATGGAGTTACAGGGACACAGGTAAAGCATAATTATTTTTTCCTTATTATTTTTTTTTTTTTTTTAATTATAAAAATCTAATAGTTAATATTGCTGTTACTGAAACTCAGTGTGGCTCGGATTTATGTAACATAACGTTTTCAAAAACAAATTATGTTTGGTCAAATGATCTGAAAACTCATTGAGACCTTAGTATATATTTTTTATATATATATATATATATATATATTTATATATAATAGTATTAGTTCTATGCTAGTTTTTTTTTTTTTTTTTTGACAGTTTATAGATTAAATTATTATTGTTAATATTAAATGATTTATTTATTATTTAATACCATTATGATAAATCATTTATTTTATAGTTGTGGAAAAAGCTGTAATTAATAATTTACTTATGTTCTTTCAGGTTGAGGAGATGTACAAAAAAGCGCATGCTGCCATTCGAGCTGATCCAGAAGCTAAACCTGCAGCTAAGAAGGAGGTGACAAAGAAGAGGTAAAATACTTTTATTATTTTGTGTTTTTATTGTTTCAATTTGATATTTTATTTTGAGCATTAAAATAAATGAACTTCCATATTTTCCTAGTGAAATATTGTTATAAAATTTAGTTAGTGGTGTTCATATGTTTGTCCTTTAAAAGGTCATTGGTATTAATTTATCCAACCCCTTTTATTCTTGCAAGTGGTTGTACAAGTCAAAAAGAAATTTTGATTATCTACCTATAAACAACTGTTAATTGCTTGATGGTTTATTTATTTTTTTTCTTAATGCTATATAAAGATTATAGTTAATCCCATTTAAAATTTATGAAATTTTAAAATTTTTATTTAGGTGGAACCGTGTGAAATTGTCCAATGCACAGTGCAAGGCACGTGTTGCACAGAAAAAGGAAGCTTTTCTCAAATCTCTGAGTGCTGAGGCAGCTGAATAATTGTATTAATGCTGGAATTTTAAGAACTTCAGTTTGACAGAGAAATAAACAGTACAAATGAAATATTTTTCCTCTTAGTTTTACTTCTTAAAATGTGACTAACTTTTGTGAATAATATTCAACTTTCTGAAATTTGATTTAATATTTTAATTGATATTAAAAACAAACAAAAAGGCTATTTTAAGATGATAAACCTTTGCACTTACAACTTATCCTCAGTACAATAAATGATCAAGTTTAAACTTGATTCGAGAATGGGTGTGGGGCAAATAGCGTGTATAACAAGTAAAATTGTTATACCACTTTCTTTTTCATTGAGAACAAATCTTAATATAAATAAATATTTACAATGAAAATTGTACACTACATAAACCAACAAAAAAAAAAATTAAGCTACTAGTAAAATAAATCATACAATACTTTCATCATAACTTTTTTGCAGTATTTAACTTATGTTTATCACTACACATGCATTTGGTTTGTGTTTTTTTTTCACCCTGTGCACCCAAAAAAAATATAATTGCTTGGTGAAACAAATATATATTTTGACTTGCTACAACTGGCATTTGACAGAAGTGTATGTTTTAACAAAAGCATGGACAATTCAATCCATAAATGAATTTAAAGTGACATTGTCATACATGTTTAGTAATAAAGCAGAGATCTACGTTATATTACTAAGATTTTCTAGAATAAACATTTTGTAGGTGAACTCTGTTACAGATATCTAAACTTACATACAAATTTTCACACAGAGGCATCTTTTTTTGCATGGGTATGTCTATCACCTATGTTAGCCAATACTATAAAGTAAAGATAATTTTTTTAGAAGATAAAAATTTTAAATATAATCAGGACTGAGATTTAGAAATTTCTAAAATCCATGTTTTAGTTTACCCGTTGGTCTATACTTCTAAACATCATGATTAAGAACCTATTTATTTTGTCGCAGAATTCATGGTTCCAGTAGCTCAATTGAAAATTTTTAATTTTGAGTATTTTTGTTTTGTTTTTCACATGTTGAGCTTTCCAAATCGATAAGCGTATGTGTGTCCTGTTTATTTGAGGCACTGTCACTTTCTACATTATTAAGAAAGCTCTCTTTTCTTTGGTTTTCCTCTTCTTGGTTTTCTTTCAGCACTTTAAAAATCTCAGCTCTGAGATGATCATGTCTTGTTTCCCATCTATCCAAGTAATTGTTAATCTCATCAATAGCATTATTGAGAGCAGTATATTCTGGGAAATAAAGTAATAGAAGATTAAAAAAGGATGCCAAAAAAAGAATTTTATAAAAACAATAGATCTAGACAGTGTTCAGGTACATGTATTATTTATTAGATGGGCATATAAACAATTTGAGTGTAAAATATCAGACTAATATTGTTACAAATAGATCTATATTGTTATTTTGTATAACAATTTCTTTTAAAGTTGCTATTTGATTGAACACAATTATTATACCAGTAGTACAGTTAAAAAACATTACGACACTTTAATCTTTTATCAAACACAAAATACCTTGGACCTACCCATATGTAAAAGTTTAACAGATTGTCTATGGGAGAAAATAATATCACTCCAAATGTTTATACAGGTATTTTAAATTACCCAACAAAAAAATCAGGAGTTGAGCCCTTAACACTAAGGTGGAGAAGCAGGAGTCATCTCAATTAAAAACTAATAGTCTAATGACTATTGAATAGTATAGGAATAATGTGTGGAACCAGTATTCATTACAAAATTTAAGAAATAAATACATTTAGATCTACCAGTACTTAATGTATTTCTATAAATAGATATAGATCTACTAATACTACTATCTAGCCAAGAACCAGAGAATAACTTAAGTCTTTGGTATATTAAGTAAATTAATATATGTATATATAATTCTAACAGTTCACTCCGGCTAAGCCCATTGATTTGTTCCCAGGCTTTATATTTATAATTATGGCTGAAACAACCCCTTCTATTTTTTTTTTTTTTGGATTGTAATAATCGGGCCACATTTTAACGATCAACCTAACAAATTTTTTTAGCAAGTGAATTAGTGTAACTGTTACAATAAAATTTTACAGCATGACAGACTTTGACTTGATTTGGAAACCTCTGCTACATAATGTGCCCCCAACACATACACGCACTCATATGGCTTTTCTTAGGATTCTCAATTCAGCCTATATTATACCTCGACCGTGACCTCCCCATCCTTGTTTTAGTTAGTTTTACATTTATTTATTTTTTTGCAACCTTCAATCTTAATGCAAGCAATGTATAGTTTTAGATTATAAACAACAAATACATTTCTTCATACCCGTACCATCAGTTTCAAGCCTATAGAAAAAAATGCATTTTCTGAAGGCCCCATTCCCCCTTCTACATTTATTTTGTTCTCTCAATAAAAACAAATATCAATAAGGTTTTATTAACTGTAATCGTTTATTTCACCCCTTTTGAATGTAGGGAAATAGATCTAGATTTATCTTTTTAATGCTATTATGAGTTTGTTGTTCATTGTTTGTTTTTTTTAATTTTTATTTTGACATTGTTACAAAGTTCTCTCGAAGAAAAGAAAAAGACTCTAGAATTCCTCTAGTTCTATCTTATTAATGCAATTAGGATTTGTTTTGATTTTATTTACACCACATCTAAAAGGAAGTGGAAATGATGTGTATGGCATATTAAAAATAAGTAGACGTATGGAAAAATAAAAAAAAATTGCTTTAAAAATATGGAATTTGTGGCCTATTTCTATTCATGTTTTCTAATTAGACTGCAGCCTTTTGGGGAAACACCAATCATAAAATACAAAGGCTAGATAGAAAGTTTGCAGTTTTTCGCGAGTAGCAATCCTCAAGTTGAGGATCTGTCGAAAACCATTCTTAGTAGTAGTGAGCATCGAGGAGGTAAAAGGAACCTGTGAAAGAAATTTCATTTGGATCTGTTTAGCCATTTAAGAGATCTCTTGATCAATGAGTCAGTGGTATCATACAAATATATAGTAAATACTAGTTCTAAATCTAGAATTTAGATTTGTATCAATTTAAATGATTAAATTTATAGTAGATGTAGACTATATATATTATAAATTATAATAAAGTAAAAGTCACAAAATCTAAATTACTAATGTAAACATTTATACAGTTCAAGATCTAGTAAAAACTAGATTCTATTAGATCTATATACTACAATAAATAATAATTATTATAAATTAAAATGAAATATAATTAAACTTTAAAAGTATAGTTAGTATAAATAAAAAAAAAAAAGATTTTACCTCCAGCCAATTCATCTATGTCACTGATATCTTCAGGTTCATTTTCAAGCAAAGTTGATGCTAATAATGCAATAATGTTTTCATCTGTAATAGCTACATCTGAAGATTGATTTAGATCTAATCCATTCATTGAAACATCATTGACATGTTGTTCTTTTTCATCACTATTTGCCATTTTTTAATTTAAGCAGGTTATTATCATGTGATATTAAATATATAGGCTATGCTCCCTTAATGTTTACAGCGGAAATCGTGCCAGATTAATTCGTAATGTTGTATGTATTTCGATATTTATGTATACTGGTAATTTTAAGACCATTACATATGTTGTAAATTTAATTTAAATCAAAAGAAACTTAAGAATTTGACTTAGTTGCAAAATATTCGCTTCTGTGAAACTTTATATGCAGAAAGCATCAGTGTTTATAGATTCATATATAAATCTAGATTTTCTGCAAAAACATTTTAATCGTAACCAAAATTTTTGTTGATAATACACTATAGTACGGTACTTGACCTCTCGAGTATCGTTTGGAGAGTATCGATATGTATTTAAAAGAAAGAAGATACCGGTATTTGATCTGGTGGTCAAAATATTAAAATGGGGCAAGGGCGTTTTGTTTTTTTTTAAAACATTCATTGCTTTTCTGAGTACCATATTTAAATAAGCCTTCATATTATGTTTCCGAAACTGTGCTGATAATTATTTTCGAGAGACGTAGAAACCCTTCTGGCTAAAGCTGCCCTTTTGGCGCCTTTAAGTGAGAGTGAGGCGGAATAAATCTCACAGTCTGTCTTATAATCAGCGTCTACCTATCAGTGGTTCTCTCAACCCTTCTGTTAGGAACTGAGGTGTTATACGTAAAGAGACAAAGTCTTCTCGAAAGCTTACACACAAGGTACCTGCGCTTCATCATGGGCATACGATGATTATATGTGAGACGACACTACAACAAGAGATGTTCTGATTCAAAAACATGTCTTTGGCCTAGGCTAGGCTTATTTGTTTTATTAGTTTGTGAACCATTTGGTGGGAAAGAACAACTAATAGTCGTAGAACTATCATCATTATCTGTAATCCTACAGAACACATTTATCAGTCTATTCCTTAACATATAGTAGGCCTAATGGGGAAAAGTTGCAGGAGTTGAAAATCCTATTTGTTAAGGCTCCACGGAGGTTTAAAGTGTGAATATTTCTCTCCTAGATGAATTGCCTTAACAGCTGAGTTGTTCCTACAACTTGAAACTCCCAGTTTTTGAGGCTTCAGGTCTTCACCTCCTTCTATTGTCAGTAAAAATAAAACAGTCCACGTGCTGGATTCGGTTGTAAGAGGTTATTTGCGACGCATGACATTTAGAAGTATTTTATAATTACTAGTCGACCGGCGGCGTAGCATACGTCGTTATTTTGCAGGGCCGGCCTTAGGCCACTGCAACCTATGCGACCGCAATGGGCCCCGCACTTTCATAGGACCCGCGCTAATTCTAGGTGTATAAATTATTAAATTAAACCATTTTATAACTTATAACAGATTTCTCGCGGCTTCCTGATTTACCAGAAGCTCCTGGAAATCTCCTGAAATTACAAAATATACGAAAAAGTCCTGGAAATCTCCGGAAATTATTAAAATCTTTTGAAAACTCATACAAATCTCCTGAGACAAAAATTGTCATTTTGGGGTGTCATTCAAGATGGAAAACGCCAATCCTACGCGCGTTAAAAAAAACGGCATTTTGCAATACCCGTGATCTATGTAGGAAACAGAATTCTTATGATATAGGCTACTGTATGACTTGGCTACACGCAAGGCTCGTAAAGTAATTCTGTACGTAGTAAAGAATGAATAAATGCAAAGACGAATTTATTTTCTAATACAAACTCTTAATTTTCACTTATTATCCGTATCCCTACCCAAACGTGGCCCCGCGAAATCCGTTTCGGATATAGGGCCCCACAATGGTTAAGTCCGGCCCTGCTATTTAGTGACGGGTGAATACAGAGTAGATAACTTGTTCTCTTTCCATGACTTCTTGGTCACAATGGTTAAGTCCG